TATCTACGTTGCTCTGACGTTGTTTTGCAAACATTGGTTCAACAGCAGCCAACAGACGTTGAATTAACGTTCATTCATGGTTAAATGTACGATGTCGATTTGTGAACCAATCTCAACGTTGTTTTAACGTGGATTCAACGTTGAATTATGGTTGACGAGATTGGCAAGCTAATTGCAACGTTGTTTCAACGTCGAAACAGTAACGTCGATCCAATTTGCATAGTCAACCCTTTTTCAACGTCTATCCAACGTCTGGAAGGTCATTTCCAACGTTGATTCAACGTTGGATAAACGTCATTTTGCCCGCTGGGTTATTACGAATAACCTAAAATGGTCGCCTCATATTTCCAACATTGTTTCCAAAGCAAACCGCATGCTTGGATTTCTACGACGTAACTGCACATATTGAACTGATATAAATTGTCGACGCTCTATTTCACACTCTGTTATGGCAGTGAAATTTGGGCACCCCAGACAACATCTAGGGACCTTCTTTGTCCTGAAAGTGTCCTATAAGACGAGCGACCAAGTATATCCTTCAAGACTTCAACTCATCTTACACCAACCGTTTAAAGAAACTTAACCTACTGCCTATTTCATACTGGTTCGAAATAAAAGATATTACGTTTTTATTATAAATGCAAAGCTGGTTATTATGACTTAACACTTGAAGACTATATTCTAGACAATTCTACTAATCATCACACTCGCTTTAGCTCTACTGATTCATACCGACCAAACCGTTGCAGAACATCTTCTTTCCGAACCCTATTTTTCAATAGGATAGTGCCACTTTGGAACAGCCTGCCAGGAGAAATAAAATCCTCTCTCTCTATTCAGTCACTGAAACTTAAAATAATCACTATACACTCAAAAAGTTAATGCATGTTTTGATGTTAATAGGCCAAGGACTTGGAAAACGTTTTACTCTAAATGTTGTTCTTGTTTTATGTCTTGTTGTTCGTAGAAGTGCATGTTCTGAGTTTTTGTACGAATGTAATTATGTGTAATACCGTAAATATGTAACTAGCTATTTATTTTGTTAATTTTATAACCGTTTATAGTATAGTATAGTATAGTATAGTATAGTATAGTATAGTATAGTATAGTATAGTATAGTATAGTATAGTATAGTATAGTATAGTATAGTATAGTATAGTATAGTATAGTATAGTATATAGTATAGTATAGTATATAGTATAGTATAGTATAGTATAGTATAGTATAGTATAGTATAGTATAGTATAGTATAGTATAGTATAGTATAGTATAGTATAGTATAGTATAGTATAGTATAGTATAGTATAGTATAGTATAGTATAGTATAGTATTGTATAGTATAGTATAGTATAGTATAGTATAGTATAGTATAGTATAGTATAGTATAGTATAGTATAGCATAGTATAGCGTAGTATTTTCATGTATGGCAGGACTTAATTTGAGACTTTATTAGTCCTGTTGTCTGTGCTTTCAATTTCTTATTGTAAAACTAATAAAAAAAAAGCAAAAAAAGTCACTAAATTTTGAATTTTTTATACGTTTCGCCGGAACGGTCGTGGTACAGCAGCCCCATTTCTCGCCGTGAGGAGTAGAAAATTAGAAAAATTAGAAGCATTAACCACTATACAACTCAACTCTATATAAAACTCTTTATAATAGAACTGGGATATAACAGACAATTTGATTGGCTAATGCGCGTGCATTGTGACGCAATAATGCACTGTGTTCTGTGGCACTGCCTTACTCTATCTCCAATCTCGGTGTTCTTCCCTGTTTCATCTCTGCTTTTTAGCCAAAAATATAAACAAAACTCTGGAGCTTTTAAAATAGAAAAAGTATCAGAAAGCAGGAAGGAGTTGACCATGCAAAGGAACAAGGCAATATTGTTTCGAAAAGAAAAAGGCGTGCAAAATAGCCGAGAAAAAACTTGAAAAAGATACAGGAATATCAAAAACATAGAAAAAGGCAACTAAAACTGAACATAAGTGATTTAGAAAGTACCTTCAATGCTTCTGATAAAAACGGCTAGATATATTAATTTTTCGGCGAAAGGAAAAAATACAATTTCAAAAATTGAAAATGACCAACATGACGAAACCTACGATTTAACGTCCTTCATGGCAAATCCGGCAGCCCAAATGCTGAAAACATTAGCAAATAAGTCTGTGTATCACCAAGTCCCCCCCCCCCCCAGCATTTTAAA